TATTATTATTATTATTATTATTATTATTATTATTATTATTATTATTAATTTTCTTTTCTGCAGCTTTTACAAAAAATTATCTCTTCAAAAGTGTATCATTGAATACATCATGGATACATTTTATCTCATTTTATTTTTAATTTGGTATTAATGGGCTTGCTTTATTGAACATTGAACTTTATTGAGATTACTTCAACTATGACAGTGATTGAAGTAGAATACAGGCTGCTTTTATATGGCAATGCTATATTATGAATTATTGATAATTATTTTATATACCAAAGATTAAATGTTATTATGTGATAGGTTATTTAATTAAAGGTAGTATACATATAAGCTCTGTTGTTTCTACATAAAATGTGTAACAGCTGAGTTTTCAGTTGATCCTTAAAATAATTCATATATCTAGAAAGAGAAAAGAAAAAATCTTATTATTCTAAATATACCAAATGTTTTATCCCAGATAAATTTAATCATAGATTATTAAAAATTTCACTGTTTATGGGAAAAGAGAAGTTATTAAAATATTTTTAATGAAACACAGATAATGAAGTATAATCTAGTGTAGGTACAATTAGAATGTTATTATGTGACCTCTTTGGTACTATGACAAAAGCTTGACTCCATTTGGAAGATAATGGAGAAGTATAATTTTAGCGGTAGAAGTATAATTTTGATCTTTATTCACATTGCAAATTTATCCTCTGTGATAATCTCAGGTTGAAAATTGCAGGTAAATCTCTTTTGGTTGTGGAACTTATGGGATATTAATGGGAATATTAATGCTAGCTCATCTTTCTGGTCAATTATGTTGTTAAATCTTTTGAGCTTTGCAAGTGGCATTTAAATCGCCTAAAACTGCAATTTATTCAAATAATCTTAATCAAAATTATTTGCAACATCTCTCTAATGAAGTGTTGGGATATCCCATATTAATAGATCAAGTAAATTAAAAGAATATTCATCTTTGATCTTAAGATGATACTAATTTAACAAAAGATATTTTCAGAATATGAATTAAAGGTGTAAAAGTACATTTGAAATATATATCAAAATTAAATTTTATCACAATATAAATAATTATGGATTTACTGAACATCTGAGGACAACTGTAACCATTTCACTGATTCTGGAAAGATAGCGCTTCCCCAGATTTACATTCCGAAATCATTGACAGTTCTGCTCTATGAAGTCACTTGATTGATGTAATAAAAAAAAACTGATAATTAATAATTCTATATGTCAAACTATGTATAACAAAGGGTTTAAATACTGGGCTGAAACATTCTTATGGTAAATTTTAAAAAGAGTAAAAAGGAAACAAAAACGTATCTACTTTTTCTCCTTGTATATTAACACTATAAATTAATAATAAAAAGCATAAAATCAAGTTGTGTTCAACAACACTGCACTTGAAAACAAGAAGAACAAAGAAGCTTCGGGATTAAAAACCTTTTATCCATATTCAACAATTACTCCTGTCCTAGATTCAGTAAGCACATATGCTGGTAAAAAAATTATATAAGTATACATTCAAACTGCTCCAGTTTCAGACACTGATACATTTGTTTTGAATCTCCTGGTCGTGCAGTCTACATATGAAGTATATATCGATCTCTCCGCTACCTGTCCACACAAGTAACAAACACTGTTGTAGCTTAGGTAGCTTTAACAGCCAACTCCATATGCAAAAGTCAGAAATTTCCCAGAGGACAAAAGTAAAAGCAGAATAGCTGAAAATTTAACAATTACTTTCTGAAAATATTTCATATTTATGTTTACTAGGATATCCCTCCAAACAACTATATGATCAAAACCATTTTGGAGGTTTGGAAATTACTTTGGTTTGAATTTAAGCAGTAATAAGCTGTTGAAATGAAAGATCAGTAGAGATAATCTGTGATTTACAACAGTTAATTTAGTGACCATTCAAAGTTAATGACACTGAAAAATGGAACTTAATGACTGTTTTCATACTTATGAACACTGCAGCATTCCCCATGGTCATGTGATCAAAATTCAGATGCTTTCAGTAACTGGACATCTGAACTGTCCAGTTAATGAAAATGTCTTCAAAAAAATCTCATTTTTTTAAACCTACACTATAAGAAATCAAATGAGGAATAACTTGATAACTTTGCAAACTTCTTACAAGGAAAGTCAATGGAGAAGCCAGATTCACTTAACAATCATGTTACTAACTTAACAATTGTGGCAAGAAAAGTTGTAAAATGGGGCAAAATTCATTCAACAAATGTTTCACTTAGTGACAGAAATTTTGGTCTCAATTGAGGTGTAAGTGATGTAAAATCTCCATGCCCTGGGGATAAGGATTGTTTGGCTCAGGATTTGATGGTCATTAAAACCTGGGTTGTCCCAGGTCATCTCAGGCCATATACCTGATCTAGCTGTTATTTTTATCAGTTGAAATGTATTTTGAGGATATCCTTTAATATAGACTTCCACTTATTGGTCATTATTATATATGTTGGTACCCTGGACCTCCAAAAAATGCAGGAGAAATAAAATTTTAAAATAGTAAAAAAAAAAAAATTAGAGGAGAAACAACTAAAACAACAAACAGATACATTATCTAGTGACACAGCAACACTCAGTTGGGAAGTGAAAAATCACATTAACCACATTTGCATCACTGTGACTTCTTTTTTCTGATCAGAATCCAGGAAGTGAAATCTTGGGGTCATCTGTTATTAGATGAGTAGGGATGTCTATGAAATGAGCTCTGACAAATGTGATTTTGCATCTTTGGCTTTTTCAAGTTGTTTGGAAAGAGATAAGAAGCTGCATTCAAGATGTATAAGGGATAGTGACTTCTTCAAGAGGCTATCTTTCAATATGGCCATTTGGGACAACTTCCACCTTTTTTCTACATTCTTGTTTGAGAGAGATTAGGAAGAATGTCAGCTGCAGAAGACTGGATAGGAAAGTAGATTTTTAACAAGAAATGATCTGCCAAATTTATCTTGTGTTCACATTAAACAGTTTCTTCAGATTGTTAATTTACTTTATTTTTTTATCTAAATGAAGTTTTCCTATATGGAATATTTGCATCATAATATGAGAGGAGTCCTTGGCAAGACTTGTTATTTGCTATTAAAAACTGCTGCTATTGCTGAAGATGATCAAACATAGAGCAGGTATTCATATGTCTTTAAGCATATCCTCATTTACTCAATTTTCATTATATCGTTTAACCAATAGAATATTTTCTCCTACTCATATTTAATTGTACATTTCTTAGATCCAAGGATTTCTTTCCCATTATGTCTTAATTTATTTCAAGGAAAAGAGCTAGCATAAAACGGAAATAAGCAATGGGTCCATGATTTGATTTTTATAAAGTGCCTGAATTTTTTTAACCTTGACAGGAAGTAGGATAGTGTATGCTTCAAAAATGATTGAGAAGAAGTGCTTTGAGTTCGAATGAGCATAGCACCTTCCTGCTGTTCATTAAAGCAGAATTAATTTGATCTTTTTCAAGCCCACATGGAAAAAAAGTTGTGATCTTATCAGTGAGAGGTTTGGACAGATGCTCAAATAATCACCAAAATGCCTCATATCAAATACTGCTAAAGCATGTACAACCTTATTATGACATAAGATTTTTATAGTTAAAAGCATGATTTAGCATTTCATATAGGAAAATGTTCCCAGTCAAGATCACAGCTCTTGCTCATGGAGGCATGCTTCCAGGGCCATATATAATGGATTTGGTTATAAAGGTGGATTATCTTACTTTTCCTCTATTTCTTCTGCTTTTAATTGCTTTGTTTAATGTTGTTAATTGTAAAGAGTTACAAATAATATGAGACAGTCCATTTTTGTACTTTGTGGGACAACTATGTAATATGTTTGCTCTGACAGTGAGAAAGTTATACAATTCCTCCTGAAAGTCCCTATCTAGAGCCCCAGAGGATAGTCCCATCCCTCAGTAAAATTTCTAACATATTATTATTAGATACATCCAAGGTTTTTAAAAACTAGTCGCTGAATGTGTCCTGAGTTGTCCATATTTAAAACATCGTTTCAGTCTCACCGAATTTATTTTTCTCTCATTTGACCTGTTCAGTTAGAAAGAATCTACACAAATTTTTCTCATTTCTTAATCAACAGTACAAGAAATCAAATGAGGAATAATTTGGCAAAGCTATAAATAAATACTATGTGGTTAGATCCTCTCAGTAATAATCTCAGTAACTGTTAGGATAGACATTTTTCAGCAATATTACTAGAAAACTTAAAGATGTTTTTTTTTATTAAATTGTTTCTAAATGTCAGCATTCCTCCAAACCATCAGCCTCAGTAATAATTATTAAAGTTCAGAAATATAAATATTTGAAAATACTGGATTTTTTAACAAAGCCTACCATCCACTGTTCGATGTCAGAAAACTTTGTACACAGACCGTAGTATTTCTATGAACAGAAGAGGAAGGAAAGATGAGAAGTACTGAAAATACACACAGAAACACACACACACACATACATACACACGATATAGACATATCAGCTCCAGAGATTTTGCACTGATAAAAAAATATTTTGTTTTGTTTAATCAAATGTAATACAATGTTAATGTACCAAAATTTAAAAGGAAATGGCAGACCTTGAAATCAGAGCTTGTTTCTTTTCACAAATCAAATTCTTTTTGTGCCCAATGTGATATTAATTCAAATATACAGGGAGAAAAATCACGCCATGAACAATATGTAATAAATCAACTCCTGAAACTACCATGTTTCCCCGAAAGTATGACCTACCCCCCAAATAAGCCCTACTCTGATTTTCACACCTGCATCTAAAATAAGCCCTACCCCCAAAAATAAGCCCTAGTTAAGCCCCACCCAACTGGTTGTACGAGATGGGGTGAGGTGCAGGCTTAAAAATCAAGCTGGGGTGGGGGTAGCTGCCTCATGCACCCTGCACCCACTTACCCAAGGAATGGTGCAGCCAGGCTTCTCACACCCCAACACTTGTCACTCTGCTGCCCAACTTCTTCTGAAGCCACTCATGGCAGGACGCAAGTGGCCGGTTCTTCCTGCTTTAGCTTTTCCCTCAGCTGGGAATGGGCTGGTTCATGGTGGATGAATTCGCTTGTGAAGTATTCCTAAAGACCCAAGAGGCGAGGGTCGCTTGGTATTAGGCTGAGAAAGTGGGGTTAATACGCAAGGTGTGGGTATGGGTATGGGTCGAGCTTGACATTTCACTTTCCTGCCTTTTGTGAACTTTTGGCTAGACACAAGGAAAGCAGAAGCAGCAGAGACCCTGGCTTGCTTCTCTCCCTCAAACTCTGCCAGAAATGGGTCTTCGCAAGGCTTGTCGCACTGGTGCAGCCTCTTGTGGCAGGACGCTTCAAAGCTTGTTAGGCTATTACATGTGCAAGTGGTAGCACTGTCATGAGGTTCATCACGCTGGTGCAGCCTCTCATGGCAGGATGCCACAAGGTTTGTGACATTGCACAAACCTGCAGCAGTACTGCCATGAGGTTTGTCACACCGGCAGAGCCGTTCACGGCAGCACCGCCACTCGCATGCAACACAACAAACCTTGCAGCACCTTGCCGCAAGCAGCTGCGCCGGTTGATGAACCTCGCAGCAATGCTGCTGCTTGCACGTGCAAAACCACAGCAAGCCTTGCAGCATCCTGTGATGAACCTCATGGCAGTGCTCTTGCTTGCAAGTGCAACGGCACAACAAGCCTTGCAGTGTCCTGCTGCAAGAGGCTGTGCCGGCCTGATGAGCCTTGCAAAAACTCATTTCTGGCGGAGTTTAGCGGAGAGAAACAAGCCAGGATCTCTGTTGCTTCTGCTTTCCTTGTGTGCAGCCAAAAGTTCGCAAAAGGCAGGAAGGTAAAATGTCAAGCTCGAACTGTACCCACGCCTCATGTATTAACCCCACTTTCTCAGCCTACAACCCAAGCAATCCCTCCCTCCTGCTGAGGCTTTAAGGGATACCTCGCAAACAAATTCACTCACCATTTCACCATGAACCAGCCCACTCCTGACTGAGGGCAAAGCTAAAGCAGGAAGAAGCTGCAGCTATGGCTCCAATCATGCCTGCTCGCTGGCCCCAAGCATGCTCAGAGAGTGCTAGCAATGACTTTTGCAGCAGCAGAGGTGGAACTGAAGCGCCATTTTCAGCTACTCGGGAATGTTGAGCTTCCCTGAAATGTAGGACAAAAAAAAATAAGACACCCCTGAAAATAAACCCTGCTGCTTATTTCGGAGGTCAAAAGAAAAAAAGACCGGATCTTATTTTCAGGGAAACATGGTACTGCAAGATTAAAGAGTCGACAAACTAACAAAGGAAGGCTATACCAATATGGTCACAATCTGAAAAATAAGAAATAAGAATAAAAGAAAGAATAATAGAAAATTAATCACAGGTGATCCTTCAAGTTCAAAGGATATGTAGTTATTCTGAATAGGTTTAAGGATATAGAGAGAGGCACAAATAGAGAGAGGAATGTTATTAACCGTGCCCTACAAAAAGTAAAATTTAAAATGGAATTTAGTTTAATCAACTATCTAAATATGTAAATTTGAACAAAATAACAATGAGAGAATGCAGATACTTGAAAGATTAGAATGGAAAACATATTCTGAATAATGTGTTATGTGTACGCCTATGTGTTTACAGGAAGTAAGAGAAACTTAGCAATGTTTTTAAAAAGAATAAACATGAAGGAAAAACCATGTTCCTTTCTTGTTCTGCCCATCTACATGAACAGGACTGGGCAGCAGCGGGGGGACGGGGGAGTCTATTCCACCTACTGCCCACAAAGCATTTCTAAAACCTCTGTTACCAACTTTTGTAATACTAATGTAGTTGTTGCATATGCTAAGTCATAATAAATGCTGTTTTTTAAAGATTTTTTAAAATCCCATCTTAGTATATTTCATTGTTCTTCTCAAATTTCTCTTAGCAAAGATGCCTAAAGATACCTTCTTTACCTGCTTAAAGAAGGTAAAATAGTAATGAAATGTTAAGACATTGCAATAAGGCATTAGGTGAGTTACATTTTATACTTGAGGCAACTTGTGGGACAGCTTGAGAGTAACTGGTCCCAAGCAATCAAATGAGTTTCCATGGTTGAGGATAGTTTTGGCTCTGAGTCTCCCCATCCCTAGTTTAATGTTTTAATCATTATCTCATAATAAAATTACTGAATATCTTTAAAATGTGTTCAAGTGTATAATGAGCAAAAGGGTGAGAAAAATAACTGCAAAATTTGTTTTTTTCCATTAATTTATCAGGAACAGTTTCCTGAGCAAAATTAACTGGGCTAGAAGATAAATAACCATAAATTGCTCATGAATGAGGTAGCAAGCAAGCATATTGTTCTAAGAAGCATATTGTTTTGAAATAATTAGAATAATTAGAAAGAAATATTTGAAATTCTCTTCCATATCAGTACCCTTTTAAACCATTTAAGTGTTTTTAAAGGAAATTATTTGTGATTGCAATAAAAAAACAGAATCAAGGAAGATGAGAAAATCTGATCACTAGAAATGGCTTAAATTCTATTAAACATACTCTGTGATAATTTTGAACATATTTTGTAGCAATACTCACCTAGCAGTAGCCTAGCAGCTAGCAATAGATTTTATGGTTTCCCCTCCAGCCCCCAGGTTCTAATTAAAACCTACAAAAAACTATAAAACTGATCTAATTAGAGACAGAAGAATGTCAATATACACTGCAGGTAAAAGCAGTTTGAATACTTTCAAAATTCAAAAAGGTATCTCTTAAACGTAGCACAAGACTGAAGCAGTCCAACAAGAAAAGGAAGACAAGTATTTCAGAAATAGCTTAATTTGCATACCAAATTGTTATTTTAAAGAAGCATTAGTACTAAATCACTCAGTGAAAACATGCAGAAGAACCCATTCAAAAATTAGTTTGTCATGATTTTTTTTATTTTTGAGATGAGACAAATAACTAATGAATTACTAATGAATATATTTCATAGAGATCTTCATATATCAGTAAGACAAAGGATGCCCAGTTACAGACTTTTTATATGCAGTTTTCAAATATTAGAAAGATCAAAATTTTCACTTATTCCATGCAACAAAAATGTAATTTTAGAAACCCTTTTAAAAACCTAGTTAGTTTTTAAAAATTAAATACTGTATATCTGCTACCTTGCCCCTAAAAACCTTTTCTCATGCTTTTTTTTCTGAAAACATCTGTAGATCAGTTATGAAACAATGCTATGGTATGAAGCTAATATTACACTGGCACTTATCATTATTAGATTTTTATCCCAACTTATCTATTATCTATATACCTATGTGGTTAACTCAAGGCAATGACTACACAATACGTTCAAGAAGGATTCACACACCCTTCATTTTGGTCAATTTTGTTGCAGCCTGATTCTATAGTTGTTGAAATTCATTTTTTTCTCATTAATCTACACCAGGGGTGTCAAATTCAAGGCCCATGGGCCGGATCCGGACTGCAGGATGCTTAAATCTGGCCTACGCGGCTGGCCTGGAAATATCAAAGGACCAGCCCATAGTGCCTCTGCCAGCCAAAATGGCACTCAGGAGGGCCACATGTGGTCCTCCCAGGTTCTGTTATTGGCCGTGACAGCCTCCTGCAGTCCTCTGCCAGCAAAAACAGAGCTCGGGGGAGGGGGTGGTTACGACTTCTTTCCACACCACTTGCCTTTCAGTCGTCTCCACCCAGACCTTTGGCCTGGCCACTGCCGGAAGGACTCCCTCCCCAGCTTGGACAACCGGTTGTGCTCCACCAGCTAGGGCTGCGCTAGGCTTGGCCCTTTTTTGGCTGGCAGAGAGCTGCTGGAGGTCAGGGAGGCCAAAAATGGGCCTTGATGGTCCTCGTGAAGCCTTCACACAGTCCATTTTTGGCCAGCAGAATGCTGCAGGAGGCCATGGAAGCCAAAAACGTTTTTTGCTGGCAGAGTGCTGCTGGAGGCCATGGAGATTGGAAACGAGGTGCAGGAGAGCCTCGTGCGGTTCCCAGGGTCCTGGCAAAGTGCTGGCAAAGTGCTGCAGGAAACCGTTCAGTACTAAAATGGGGCAGAAGGGGCCAGGCACATCCTTGTATTGGACAGCACAGTGCTGCAGGAGGCGTCCGTCCCACCTCCTCGCCACTCCTCACTAGCCCACAGAGGAGAAGTACAATGTTGATCCGGCCCTCGAAGAAATCCAGTTTGACACCTCTGATCTACACTCAGTACCCCATAATGACAAAGTGAAAACAGAATTTTAGAAATGTCTGTAAATGTATTAAAAAGAAAAAAACTGAAATATCATATTGGCATAAGTATTCAAACTGTTCACTCAGTACTTCTTTGAAACACCTCTGGCAGCTGTGGAACAGGTTTTCATTGAGGATATGCCTGTGCTTTGTTCCCTTCTACTTTTCCTCAACCCTGACCAGTCTCCCAATCCCTACTGCTGTTGTGGTTAGCTGGCAGCAGGTGCAGATGGCTGAGGAGAGCGATGACTCTGATGAGGGGCCAGGACCATCAGGGAGTGGACTGCTGCCTTCAAAGATTGTGGGGGCTGGCAGCAGTGACGAGGAGGTTCCTGGGGAGCCTGTGCCAAGTGCATGTGCATGAAGGATTATTCAGAAGAAAGAACAATTACAGCAGCACAGGCAACTCGGGAGTAAGGCTGCAAGGTAATGGCCCCTCCTTCAAGAGGATAAAAGCCAGGTTTGGAAAAGTGTTCTTTGTAGACAGCAAAGAAGCTCTTAAACTCAACTGGTGGACATCTTAGTTCGTGTTTGGAGAATTTTGTAAATTAGTTCTTATCTCTGGGTTTTTGGCACCCTTGACAAACAACTTGGCAAGGCTCTTTCTTGTTGGAGCTAATTAGTGGAAAGCAGCCTTCAGAACAGAATTCATTATTAAACCTTAAAAGGTGGGGGCTGTTGCCTTTGTCTGTGTTTGCTCTTTGGGAACCCGGCTGGGTCAGAACAACTGCTGAAAAATAATCCCACAGCATGATGCTGCCTCCACCATGCTTCCCTGTTGCGATGACATTGGGCAGATGAGGAGCGGTGCCTGCTTCCTCCAGACATAATGTTTAGAATTGAGGCCAAACAGTTCAATCTTAGTTTCATCAGGTCAGAGTATCTTGTTCCTTACAGTCTGAGAGTCCTTCAGGTGCATTTTTCATGTGTTTTACACTGAGGAAAAGCTTCTATCTAGCTACTCTGCCATAAAACCCAGATCAGTGGAGGGCTGCAGTAATGGTTGTCCTTCAGGAACTGTCCCATCTCTGGATGGGGTCTCTGGAGTTCAGTCAGAGTGACCATCAGGTTCTTGGTCACTTCTCTTACCAAGGTACTTCTCTTCCAATTACTCAGTTTGACCAGGCGACTAGCTCTTGGAAGAGTCCTGGTTATGCCAACTTTCTTCCATTTGAGAATTGTGCAGACCACTATGCTCTGAGGAACCTTCAGTGCAGCAGAAATTTTATTGTAGCCTTCCCCAGATCTGTGCATTACAATAATCCTGTCTCTGAGCTCTACAGGCAGTTCCTTTGATCTCATGGCTTTTGCTCTGCTACAATAGGCATTGTCAGCTGTTAGGCCTTCTATAGAGGTGTGTGCCTTTGCAAATGATGTCCAGTCAATCTAATTTACCACAGATCAACTCCAATCAAGATGTAGAAACATGTCAGCAATGATTAAGAGAAAGGGAGGTACCTGAGCTAAATTTCAAGTATTGTAGCAAAGGGTCTGAATACAGGTAATCCTCAACCTACAACAGTTTGTTTAGTGACCATTTGAAGTTACAACAGCACTAAAAAGGGGGGACTTAAGACCATTTTTACACTTATGACCGTTGCAGCATCCCCATGGTCATGTGATTTACATTCAGATGCTTGACAACCGATTCACATGTATCTTGGTTGCAGTGTCCCAGAGTCATGTGATTCCCTTTTGCCACCTTCTGACAAGCGAAGTCAATGGGGAAACCAGATTCACTTAACAACTGCGTTACTAATTTAACAACTACATTGATTCACTTAACAAATATGGCAAGATAATATCGCAAAATTCGCTTAACAAATTTCTCACTTAACAAAATAAATGTTGGGCTCAATTGTGGTCGTAAGTTGAGGACTACTTGTACTTCTGCCAATGTGATATTTCAGTTTTTCCTTTTTAATAAATTTACAGACATTTCTAAAATTTTGTTTTGACTTTATTATTATTGGGTACTGCCTGTAGATTAATGGGAAAAATGAATTTCAACAACTGAAGAATCAGGCTGCAACATAACAAAATTGACAAAAGTGAGGGGGGGTCTGAACATTTTCTGAATGCACTGTATCAAATATTCCTATCTCCTATTTTCTCCACAACAATAAAATTCCTATAAAGTGAGCTGGGCTGAGAGACAGTGACTGATCCAAAGTCAAACAAGTGACTTTCTTGCTTAAGTGAAACCTAGAACTCATACTCTCCTTATTTCTAGGCCAGCATCATCTCCACTACTGTATATAAAACTATCTCCCAGTCTGTCAACTAAATATTTGACACAGAAGAGCTACAGATAGACAGTTCTTAGAGGTTCATTCACAGAGAGACTTTTTCAGTTTTGATACTTTCAAATTCAGCTAACGTATCAGAAACTAATAGAATTGGTATTACTACTTGCCCAGAGAATTTGAACAAATTCTGGTGTTCTGTTTATTCTTTGGGTGTTCCTTATCTGTGTTTCTTCTTTAATCATATAGCAATAGCTTCTGCTATTTGAATACGCAATAAATATATTGCAACAAGTTTTCTCAGCTTATGTTAAAAATGAATTTCATGTGGCTTAGAAATAAGTGAAAATATTTTAAGTATACATTTTCAAATAAAATATGCCAAATACATGATGTATTTAGCTGCTTCTAAAGAATCAACTATCAAAGCCTTGGTGTGAGAAAACAAAAGCATGCAATCTTATAGTAAACTATGACAGCCCTACCTTTTGAACTTGATAGATCTATAATTGGTAGAGGAGGAAAAGAAGAAACATCAAGGCAAGATTTTTCAGGACAGGTATTATATAATGCATTTTCCTAGATGCTAGTAAATGTGGAAACAGGGATGAAATACACTTCTAAAATGCAAAAGTGAAATAAGAGATTTGTAATGCACTTAAAATGGTTTTTGGATATGATATGATGCAGTCAGAGGCTAAAATGAATACTCTTCTCTCTGGGGAGGGCATCTACAGCATAACAATAAGTATTACTTAGGTCTGTACCCTACATAAGTAACACAAAATTACCAATTCCCACCCAGTATCCATATACTCATGTTTCAAGTAACACAGTTCAGGAAACCCACATCACATTCTTATTAAATTCTAACTTAAAATTCAATAGTAAATAAAATCATGAAATTTGTACTCTAAAGCTTTACAAAGCTGATATAACCCAAACCAGACATCTGAACACCTGAACACCTAAAAGAAAACCTATGGAGGAACAATTCATTAGAAATGCTGCTTTAAAGAGCTTCCTAATATATCAGCAGGAATTCTCTATTTTTCCTAGATATTTGAGATTGAGGGGTTTTTTTTGTAATAAGTTTTTATTTTATAGCATACAAAAATTCCAATTTCAATTGAACAATGTGTTGTCTGGGTACAAATCATTTTAGGAAATAATACTCAGAGTATTTACAAGTATTCACTGCATTAATATCAATTATATTAATATTAATATCAATAATAATCATACTATTTGTTTAACCAAGTTAACATATCTTCCTTGTGTCACTAATCCTTTCATATATTTCCCTGTTTCTAGCTCCTGTTTTTGTCAGCTAACCATTTATAAAATAAGTCCCAAGTCAAAAAATATTTAGTTTCTTCCTTTCCCTTAATTGTATTAGCTTATCCATTTCTACACATTCTAATATTTTTCTAATCATATCTTCATCTGTTGGGATCTTTTCGCTTTTCCACTGTTGTGCAAATACTATTCTCGCTGCAATCAATACATGTAAAATCAGATATACATTCCCTTTGTTATACCTTTCTGGTAAAATGACCAATAAAAATATCTCAAATGGACGTTTGATAATACTATCTTAAAGGAAAAAGACTTCACACAGTGGATGGAGAAAAAACTGGCTTTTTTCTTCAGAGAAAACAAAAAAGAAGATACATCAATCCAGAATGTATGGGATACAATAAAGGAATATGCCAGAGGCTTGATAATAGACTATACAAGGAAAGGAAATACCATGAAAAGATTAGCCTCTAAGGCATTAGAGGATGAGTAAAAGGACTTGAAAAAGAGCTACAGAAAATGCCACAGAAAAAGGACATTAAGTTAAAAATGGATATAACCAAACATAAAATGGGTCTAATAGAAAAAGAAGAACTAGCACAGAAAATTAGAGGTGCTAAACAGAACTACTTTGAAGATGCAAATAAACCAGGTAGATGGTTAGCATATAAATTGAGAAAGGAGAAAGAATCAAGGAAAATATTGCAATTAATAGATGACCAAGGCCAAGTTTGCTATGGTAGTAAAGAGAAGAAGAAAATCATACGAGACTATTATGGGAAATTATACACACAAGAGAATATTGATGAGGAAAGAGTTAAACAGTATTTACAGAATGCTAATCTACCCCAGATACCTAAAAAGATTGAAATAATGTTAGAAAGCAATATAACGATGATGGAGTTAACTGAAGCACTCAAGAAGCAAAATAATGGAAAGGCACCAGGCCCAGATGGACTTCCGGCAGAATTTTACAAAACATTACAAGAATCGTTGAACCTTCCATTGCTAAAAGTTATGAATGGAGTTATGTTAAAGAAGAGGATACCTAAATCATGGTCAGAAGCTTATATTATACTTATTCTAACAGAGAAGGCTGATCCATTACAAATCAAGAACTATAGATCTATTTCCTTACTAAACGCAGATTATAAAATTTTTGCATCAGTATTGACAGAAAGACTTAAAAAATATTTAAACAATTTTATCCATCCTGATCAAAATGGATTTCTGCCAAAGAGACAAATTAAAGATAATATGAGAGTAATCTTGGACACTTTGGAATACTACGAGGCACATCCTGAAAAACAAAGGGATTCGATATTTTTAGATGCACAGAAGGCATTTGATAATGTGAATTGGCGATTCATGTTATTACTGCTGGAACAGATGGGCTTTGCTAAAAAAATTTATTCAAGCAATAGAAGCTATATATCATAAGAAAACAGCAAAGGTAATGATAGAGGGAGAACTGACAGACTATCGATATAAGAAAAGGAACAAGACAAGGGTGCCCACTATCACTTCTGTTGTTTGTGTTAACCTTGGAAGTGCTAAATAGAAATATTAGAGATGAAAAGAATATAAAAGGGATGAAAATTAAAAAGGAAGAATTTAAATTGCAAGCATTTGCAGATGATCTGGTTTTCATTTTAGAAGATCCGCTAGAAACAGCATCAAAATTGATAGAAAAGATAGAGACATATGGAAAGGTGGCTGGTTTGAAAATAAATAAAGATAAGACAAAGATCCTGACAAAGAATATGTTATCAAGACAAAAGGAAGAACTGGCAGATCTATTGAAAATCCAGGTCACGAATAAGATCAAGTACTTGGGGATATATTTGACAGCAAGATGCAGTACACTGAAAGAGAATAATTATATCAAACTTAAGCAGCAGATAGCGCTAGATTTGGCGAAATGGGAAAATTTCCAACTGTCATTAATAGGAAGAATATCAACAATCAAGATGAATATATTACCCAGAATTTTATATTTGTTCCAAACAATTCCAATTAGGCTTGGAAAAGATTACTTTGAAGATTTAAATAAAATTGTGTTGAAATATATATGGCAAGGTAAGAAAGCGAGAATAAAGTAAAAACTTTTGCAAGATGCTAGAATAAGAGGAGGATTTGGTTTGCCTAATTGGGAGTTGTATTACCAAGCTACAAATTTGATGTGGGTTAAGGAATGGATAACATTAAGAAATACTAGATTGTTGACATTAGAAGGACATGATCTGTTGTTGGGGTGGCATGCTTTTTTATGGTATAAAGGAACTAAAACACAGGGGTATTTTAGAAGACATTATATATGGGAGTCTCTGTGGTTAAACTGGGAGAAGATTAAAAGACAATGTTATTTGAAAATTCCAGTCTGGCTATCGACTATTGAAGCATTTTCTTATCCTATAATATACAAAAAGGAACAAACAGTTAGATATGGTGAAATATTGAATGAAAAGGGTGAACTTAAATCGATGCAAAAACTAGAGGAACAAGGTATAAAGATGAATTAGTTTTCATATGTGCAAATACATTCAAGGTATGATAAAGATTCTAAAACAGAAGGTTTCTATGATAAACTGACTGACTTAGACAAGATTTTGACAGGTACTGATGAAAAGGTGATTAAAAAATTGTATGGATATTTATTAGAAATTAAACTAGAAGAAAAAGTTAAAGAAACTATGATTGCTTGGGGGAAGAATTTTGGATATGGGATTGATCTAGAGAAATGGCAAAAACTGTGGTCTCAAAATTATAAAATGATAATGTCAACAGCATATAAAGAAAATTTGTATAAGATGTTTTACAGGTGGCATTTCCCCCCGACAAGAATAGCAAGAATGTTCAAGAATAAATCCGAAAAATGTTGGATATGTCATCAGACACCTGGCTCATATTACCATATGTGGTGGACATGTGCGGATGCTAAAAAATATTGGACTAAAATCCACACGTGGTTGGAAAAAATGACAAAAAAGCATATAGATTTGAAACCTGAGAAATTTTGATTGGGAATTTTACCTGAAATATATAGTAAAGACTTGAAATACCTGATTCTAAATGTATTAACAGTGGCTAGGATTGTATTTGCTAAAAACTGGAAAAATGAGAAAACACCATCACAGGAGGAAATCATTAAGAAAATATTGGAATGTGCTGAAATGAGTAGATTGACATTTGAAATTAGAGAACAAGAGGATAAACAATTTTATAAAATTTGGGATCTATTCTATCAATGGTTAGACAATAAAATATAGTAATGAAATATGTAGATTCTTAGAAAATAATAAATATATAAAGATGTATTCTTTTTTATTATATCTACAAAATTATTTTAGGATAGATTTGGGGTGATAATATGAACCGTCATAAAACAAATTAAGTAAAATATGATTATTTCGTAAAACATGAATGAATAAAAGTATAGTCAAATGATTAATAATGATATTAATGTATGTAATATTTGATTGAAAATACGAGAGTATATACAATGTAATTGTAATTGAAGACTACGAAATGGAAGTACAAAACAATTTGTAAACCAACCGGCACACTGTATGTATATATATGGAAGATGGCTTAATGTTTTTATGTTTTGTTTGTTTATATTTGTTTTAAAAACCAATAAAAATTTTAAAAAATGTCTCAAATCTATATGTTGCTTTATCAGTTTTTCAAGCCACGTGTGTATCCACCACATATGATAGTATGAACCAGGTATCTGGTGACATTTCCAACATTTTGCAGATTTATCCTTAAACATCTTTGCTAACCTTGAGGGCAGAAAATGCCATCTATAACAAATTTTATAAAGATTTTCTTTGTATGCAATAGACATTGTTAATTTATAATTTTTATCCCATAATTTCTGCCATTGATCTAACTTAATCGAATATGACATTTTTAATATTAAAAAAGCACAAGACAAGGATGTCCACTATCTCCTTTACTATTTATGTTGACATTGGAAGTGCTGAATAGAAATATTAGACAAGACATAGAAATCAAAGGTATGGAAATAAAAAAGGAACAATATAAATTACAGGCATTTGCAGATAATTATCCAAAGGTAAGTAATAGGGCAACTCCCCCACCACAGCTTAATTTTTACCTGTGCACCCTGGAGTGGGCGGGATCTTAATTAGGGCTTATTTTGGAGGTAAGGCTTAAATTGGGCGCACATGTAAAAACCAAGCTAGGGCTTACTTTGAATAGATCGATTTTGGGGGAAACATGGTAAAATTAATGTAATGAAGTTCTATACTGTTATGTAAAGTAATTGTTATTCTTTCCCAATGTTTAAAGTTGTTAGAGTCAGGATGGGAAACAACAAGCTTGGGATCAATCCAAGCAAAATTGTTTTATAATTTGTGGGTTAAAATGAAGCATCAGTTGATGTTTGGTATATCCAATGCTTCACATAGTGATGAATGATTCTGCCAGAAGAGACACTGAATGGATCTCCTCAGACCTAAGGCCCTAAGTCCGATGTAAGTAGGGTGCAAATAATATTTTCGTAAGTCCTTCCAGTTACAGACTTATCTGAATCTTCGCAGTCAAAAGTTGAAGAGGTAGTTTGACAAACCAGCAGCCTGAATAGTCTCAAACACACCTGCAGTCACTCTGGGAGACAGGGGAGTCTGAGCACATGAAATCCAATTCAGATAATAAGGAAGTAGATTTCACTAGAGGGCTCAAGTCAAAAGCATGCTGGCGGTTACAAAAGGCTGAGGATAGGGGAAAATAAGCTTGATTCTGCACATGGAGAAAGTAGCAACACATCTAAACAAATCCTACCAGCATTTGGGACTATATAAACCCCAAACCTTTGCCCTTTCAATGGAAAGAACCCTTTATGCTTGGCATTTGGACTCTTAGATTGATATTTGGGCTGGTTCATGAAATTCTTTGGATTGTTATAATAGCTTCTGAAGCTTGGAATTTGCTCATTCTGTTCGGACAACTTGCAAGGCACATTTTCACTGATGATGTTACCTGCTTTGAGTAATAAAATGTCTGCAAGAAAACAAACAAGCTCAAAGAGCACCAAGGATTCTACATTCTTGCTGGCTAATTCTTCTGCTGATTTTCAGCTATTTCCTTCTGTTCAATTATGTCCGATTCTTGGGAGACTGCCTGGACAAGTCCCTGTAGGTTTTGGGCAAGATTTTTCACAAACGGTTTGCCATTGCCTCCCTCCTACGGCTGATGGAAAGTCACTGGCCCAAAGCTTTGTGATCAAGGCTGAACTTGAACTCACAGTCGCTTGGTCTCTTAGTTTCTAGTCTGATGATTTAACTACTACATCAAACTGGCTTTCTATCAGGAAATTTACAAAGCCAAAAAAAAGCCTTTCAACCCTTTAATTACCTGCCTTGTTTGATAAGGACTTGCACAGGATACAACATAGAAAGACAGGATCCCATAAGCAAGTAAGTACCTAAACAGATAATGCTACCAAGAAGAATTTGAGTTCTATGAACTGTACTCATATGAATGTGACTTGACAAGAGATTGTTTACCTTGCACAAAGACTAATAAGGATGCATTTGGCACACACCTTACTAATCTCAGCAGCAGTAGCAGCAGCACACTGAACTATAACTTTTCTTGCAGTGAAGGTGACAAAAGCCTAGGACCAAATATGCTGAGGATGCCATTGTCAGCCCTAGAGACATCTTATGCTAGAGTCTACAGGGCTGCCACAACGGGGACTGAGCAAGCTGTGGGAACATAAGGAAGGAGGTGAAGACAGTGTGGGATGTATAATCATAACATTCTTTCCCTTGGGAGCCAAGGACCTCCAGCCTGCACCTCGGAAGGAGTGATAGAAGTTGGCTGAAGTTGTGGTGCTGATTTGATTGGACCATGTGATGCAGGGGAAGGAAATTTGGGTTTTACTTTGGGTGGGAAAAACGTGGGATGTTAGATTCGGGTTTTCCCCAGATGTGCCAATATGACATTTACAATAAATGTATGCCTTGAGGAAGAAACCTGCCTCGGAGTTTTGATTCTGTTGGCGGTACTACTTGGAACCCTGACAGCCATGACATCAAAGCGGGAGTTGAAGGGACAAACAGACGAGCAATTGGAAGACTTTTGGTTTTGGCAGAAAATTGCAACAGAGAAGGAAGGAAATACTGCTCACAGATTCAAATATTAACATATCAATGAACCAAATATGGGGAGGGGGGAGTCAAGAACTTTTATGTCTATGTGTGTGCATATCTGTGTATGGATATATATTTTCTTTTGAGAGAGCATCAGAATTTCATTTCTAATGTATGCCAGTGTGTTCACTGACAAAAAATTGGTACAAAAAATTGGACATTATCTTTATTGACCTAGATCCCTGCACCAATTTTGTGCACGTAACCAACAATTTTTCATCTAAGTTGCATTCCTTAATAGACTGTTATGTAAAGTCCTCAAGTAGCAAGAACTAGATGCATTTTACTTCTAAATACGCATGCTGTTATTTTTTTCCAAAAAAAAGCAATCACATGTATTTACAAACGAGTGTGAACATATGTTTACATAGACAACAATGAAGTGATAATTTCATAACATTCTTGTAATAGGCAACAAGTATTACTCTTTCAAAAATTATTTGTCTATTTTATCCCAAATATCAAAAGCCTCTTGTACTTCAGAAGTCAAGATAATGGAGACAATAAGAAGCTGTCACATACCTCCTTTTGTTGCTTCTCAAGTTCTTTCATTCTAATTTCCCGTGCTTCAGCTCGTGCTGCACGCTTTGCCGCAAGTCTTGCTTCACCCTACCAAAGGAAAAAAGGGTCACAAGATTGCAGCAATACCTAAACTGATTTGAAAGTCCAGGCTCATATTATCATATTGTAAGCCTGTATAGTATGTTAAGTATAATATATAGTAATAATATAATAATATAATATATATGATAATATAATATATATAGTATATATATGTGTGTGTGTGTGTGTGGTAATATATAGTATATATATTGTACAGTATGTTATGTATAGTATGTCTAAGGAATGCGGTGGCTCAGTGGCTAAGATGCTGAGCTTATTGATCAGAAAGGTCGGCAGTTCGGTGGTTCGAATCCCTAGCACCGTGGAACGGAGTGAGGTCCCGTTACTTGTCCCAGCTTCTGCCAACCTAGCATTTCAAAAGCATGTAAAACTGCAAGTAGAAAAATAGGGACCACTTTGATGGGAAGGTAACAGCGTTCCGTGAGCCTTCAGCGTTTAGTCATGCCGACCACATGACCATGGAGACATCTTCAGACAGCACTGGCTCTTGGGCTTTGAAACGGAGATGAGCACCGCCCACTACAGCCAGAAACAACTAGCATGTATGTGCAAGGGGAACCTTTACCTTTACTATACTATGTTTATATGATAGCCAGTGTGGTGTAATGACTAAGATATCAAGCTAGAATCCTGAAGACTATGAGTTCTAGTCCCACCTTAGACAGGAAGCCATCTATATGATCTTGGACCAATCACTCTTTCTCAGCTCTAGGAAGCAACAAGGGTAAAGCATTTCTGAAAATCTTGCCAATCAAACTGGAGCCAACGCTGACTTGACGGCACACAAACATACACAATCTATTTTAGACATAAATTTGCAATTCCTGAATATTGCTGGGATGGTGCTTTCATCTGAAAATGTTAATACAATAGGAGAAGAGCATTTATCCCCATTAATTCAAGGGCAGGGGAACAAATTGGAAAATTGAAAGTGTGGAAAAACCCTTGAGATCCTGGCTCAAGTCACTTGCCTCTAGATTCCTGGAACCCTAGTCCCTTTCCAGGCCAGATGCTTACTCAGGTATTCAAGAAGTATCTCACTGAGATAGTATGGTGGTTTTGTTTTGTTTTTTTAGATAAACCACCACCATCTTGGGATGAGAAAGCAGTTCTCCCTATTTACAGTATAATAGGAAACTCTTTTACTAATAGATAATTGTTTGTTGTATGTGCACAAACTTGATAGTGAGTGGTTCTTAAAGGGGCTAATCCTCAGTAAGCAGTTTTGACAACTTTTATAAAATAGTACTTATTAGTACACATTATCTGGTTATTTAAACTACCTAGTTTGCTAGCATTTAAGCATTCAAAACAACTATTTATTCTACGTTGAAGCAGTTTGACAGATTTTTCACCTAGAAAAAGCTAGGTCAAATTTTAGTATCATCCTCCCCCTAAGAACTGTGTAATAAGGGCTTTTTCATGTTGTAAAATATTTTTTTATCTCCTTTCAATAACTTTATGAAAACAATTCTAGAGAACAGAAAATGCTTGCTCACTGTTTTTATTCTGCTGGATTTCTTTTAATTGACTTTAATGGCACTGGAATTTCATATAGGAGATAACAGACGAAGTTGTTTCTTCAGAACAAAAGTGATATATTTGTTAACTAAAACTAATTTATAAAATGTGTACATAACAATAAAATACCAATATAAAGAACAATTTTCCATCAGTGCCACATCTATAAAGGTACTTATTCTACTTCATTAATATTTAAGAATTAAAGTATTAAAAACATTACAAACATGTTCCATATTTGTACTCAAGCCCTTGTAGACTAAGTATTCGTCAGCTGCTTGGAATGGACATTTTTGTAACATTTGTTTGGAAAATTGTACTACTTCACCTTCCTAGAGTTAGTATTGACGGGTTACTTATAACTTTCCCTTCTAAATAGTTTAATGAAATGACATTATACTACATTATTTGTACAAAATACATTATTTATCCTTTGTCGTTATATGAAAAGCAAAAGCTAATCATAACTTGAATGGATTTCTTAGACAAGTAATTCATCAGGAAACTGGGGAATCAAAAAACTTCGTTCAGTTTTAATATTAGTTTTCCTATTACATTGTTCAAATAAAACAAGATAAACAGCATCTTACCAGTATTTGAGATCTAGTCTCAAGAATTCAAAAATGAATTGTAAAAAGTTTTAATCTTCTAAACAAAACAACACCAGGAAATAGAAGCTTTATAATTCTATATAAAGATTTTTAAAATGATCATTTAATTTTTATTTTTTTCATCTGTTTATTTGAGTTTTAAAGTTTCCCTTCCTAAAAAATCATTCTACTTCTATTGTGGGAGCAGCCAAAGTAATAAGAAGAAACTGTGCTGCTTCTAGAGGTTTCTCTCTCTTTTTCTTCTCCATATCTTCTGAAGATGGAGAATTATCCAAAATGTTCAGTTCTCATGTTTATGAAAAATATTTCCTTCAGTCTCCCACTCTTACCTTCAAATTCTTCAGTATGAAGTATACTAGGCTCCCCAGAATGTATACTGGAAATATATGCTTCCATTTCCCAGAATGAATACTGGGAAGAGAGGGAAGGAATTATTTAGAACACTACTCCACCCCACCTAGGAGCTGCAAATCCTGATGCAGCAAACAATCATTAGGCTAAAGAGCAATGCAGAAACAAGCACAACCTGATTTTCTTCCTTTCAGAGATACAAATTAAAAACATTATTGCAACATGTCAGAATTTCTACCAGCCCAACAGGAAGGGGGAAAAAAATGCTCCGTTGACACCCCCGACAAACTTCGTAAGGGAATCAGGAAAAGGTGAAGGTAAACATTTCTCTGTCCAGCTGTGTCTGACTCTGGGGTGCAGTGTTTATCTCCCATTTCTTTGCCAAGGGAGTCAGCATTGTCTAAAGACATTTTCCATGTTCAGGTGGCTAGCAAGGGTATATGCCAAAGGTGCACACTGCTACCTTTCCACCCGAGTGGTACCTATTTATCTTGCATGCTTTCAAACTGCTAGGTGGGCAGGAGCTGGAACAAGGAATGAAAGCTTCCTCTTTGCGCAGTGCTTAAGTCTTGAACTCAGGCGATCAGCTTTCTGGCTGACAAGCTCAGAGTCTTTAACAGCTGAGCCACTGCACCCCTTGGGAGTCAGTAAGTTTTTTAGAAACACCATAAGATAGCAATTCTCAGCACCATTACAGAACTTTGCTCATTTGTACACAAGAAGTATCAATTTCCCACACATTAAATTGTAAAGACATATTCCTCTATTGTTTTAAGCTTTAAAATCAAAGATCTGTTAGTTTAAGACTCCCCACACTGGCAGGTGTTACTGTGCTCCAATTCCATTTATGAGATGTGTCTACAATATTTGTCCAAGCTCTACTCATTATTAATTGGATACATGAAAATTAGGCTGTCATTTTTTTTACCCAAGCATAGGCTATGTACTTAATGCATTATTTGCCCTAACTGCTTCAATATTTTTGCTTTATTCGTTTCATTAAGGCTATACTATGCTTCAGATTCATTTCCAAATATAGTTGGTGCTTCAGAGCATGCAGGGATACAAACGTATCATTTGTCTGCAGCTCTGATGACACAGAAATATATTTTAAGAGACTTAAAGGAAATACAATATATTTAGATCATAAACATTTGGAGTATAGATATCAAAGCTCTGAGTTAATTTTCATAAGACAGCATAACACAATACATATGTAGGACTGCAAGGCCCCAGATTAGCTGGCAGAACCCAGTTTTAATGATCTTCCAGAAGTGTGAGGGCACCCTCACATCTGACAGATGTTAGCAATTACCTCAGTTAGCAAATGTGCAGATGCGGCAAAAATGGTAGTAAAAAAATATTTTTTTAACCAATGTGCATCAAATATCACACATCTGACAATTCTGGCATTGCTACATGAGATAACTTTGTCTAAATGAGACAGGAGCAATCAGCAATCTTTGTAGCATTTCTCTCTCCTGCAGGGACTGCTGATTGAAACCCACGGCTTGAGTACCGGATGGTGGCTGAGACAGAGGCGCGTCCAGGCAGAAAGAGGGTGTGGGCCCCACCTAAAAAGACATTGGGAGGCAGAAACTCCCAGTGCTGACTTTACAACAAACTTCAACACAGAGGACTCATTGAGTGTCAAGGCTCTGGCCTAAATAAATCATGTTTCTGTTTAACAGTCCCAGAGCAATTGAGTTTCTGTTTTGCCCAGGTCCAGAGTTTGGACCCTTGAGACTTCCAACATTCTCTCTATATATAAAAAAAAGAGTAACTCAGCCAATCAGATTGCCAAACAAAAAATGAGAGCTTGTGTCAACAAGGATTATAGCATCCAAACAGGATAAGAATTTCAAAGGACTTACATATTTAAATAGGATATGTTTAACTATGGAAATTAAATGTTATTAATGACTGTTCTCTATTCTAGAAAACATTTTATTATTTTATTTAAAACAAACTTCTACAGTTGTAGGATCTCTAGATAGTAAATTGCAAAAAGCTACTAAAACATGGTGATAATTACCGTGTTTCCCCGAAAAATAAGCCCTAGCTTGACTTTTATGTGTGAATGTTAGCCGGATCTCCAGCATGGGTTTTCCCTTGGATGTTTGCCATAGTGACAGGGAGGGGGGATGGTATTTGGGTTTGGAAAGTGAGCTGGTGTGATGAAGGCCTATGTGAACTAAAAGGGAGGTTTGCTCTCAAGTATTATTGTGCTGCTGAATGGAGTTGTTTACACCCAGTCAAGGCCAACCATCCCAGAACTCCAGATAGATGAAAACACCTGAAGATGTGGCTCCACATGACACTATCTAGAATGTGGACTGGACATTCAGCCTGAGCGGCGGGATTTGGGGAAACTTTAAGTATATAATTTTTGCACCTTTTGAATCAGATCTTGCTTTTCTTTCGCTTCTATCATTTCAAACTCAATAAAAGTACCTCTTCTCTACTTCAATGGAGTTGGGAGTTTACTTTCTTGGGTTTTGA